GTAGAATGCAACATTAATGCATTTTCTGTTTCCAGACATGGCTACCTAATAAATAATGTGGCTCCATTTCTACTCATAGAAAAGAGAGGCGGGTGGGGGAACTTAATTAGGTTAAAAGTAATATTGTATTCCCTCATCGGCTCATCATTATGAGTAGGGGTGGGCGCGGGTCGGTTTGGTTCAATTCGATTTTTTTCGGTTTCAGAAATTTTTGGGTATTTAGTAAATGGAACCGTCGGTTCCAAATATAATTTTGGAACCGTTCCGTTTGGTTCCGTACTATAATAAAATGGAATTCATTTTCCAACTTGCTTAGAAAAAAAAAGGCATTTCAATCAGGGCCTAAAGGCATCTTCTCTTTTCTATTTTCATACAATTTCCAGTTTTCAGTTTTCAAAAATACTGAAAACACATTAACTTACCTATTTTTATAAACGAATTTTGGAAAACAAATTTAAAATTTACAAAGAAAACACGAAACGAAAAATTTGTCTTTTTTAGTGTTTTCAGTTAAAACCAAGCCAAAATTTTGAAAATGCGTTTTTTTTGCTTTCAGTTTAACATCACCCCAACCAACACCAATGCCGCCGTCACAACACCGCCAAAACCACCAACACCAAGGCCGCCGTCACCGACTCTACCAACACTGCCTAGATCGACCACACCACCATCACCATCGTCGATCGCCACCACCACCGTCGACACCTCCACATGCACCACCAACACTGCCTAGATCCACCACACTACCATCACTATCGTCGACCGCCACCTCTACTGTCAACAACCCACCTGCATCACCAACAAAATTCTCTGTCAGATCGACTGTAGCCACCAACAAAAATCGCTGCCAACACACCTTCCTGCACAATCAATAAAAATCACCTAAAACCCCCAACAACACCAAAGCCATCCCAAACCACCACTGGCACCACTACAAACAATATCAATGTTGATGAAATCGCTATGCGCGACTCGTTAGAGTGCCGCGCATAGTGTTTCTCACGGTTTTGCAGCGATGAAGATGTGTGTCTCGTCAGAGAAAAGGCGCACAATTTTTTTCACGGTTGATGAAACCGTGTGTATCAATGGAGAAAAGTTTTTGTGGAGGAAAAGAGGGGAAGAGAGACGAGAAATGTAAACGGATTTTGAGTTTTTTTATTTTTGAAAATAATTTTTCAAAATGACAAAAAAAATTTGTTTTCAATAATTTCAAAATGGACACTCAAAATACAAAATTCAAAATGAATTCAAAACTCAAAACTAAAGAAAGAGAAAAACCCCTAATTATTTGCTTAATACCCATTTGTAAACATCCAATAATCAAATTAGTTTTATATTATCCTTGGAACTTACTGGTTTCAACGACCATTAATCAACATTCTTAAATAGTAAAGATACGTTCAATGCTGCTACGATCAGATCTGGGAATTTCATGATCCGAACTAGAAACCTAGCTAGGGATGTCTCATACTCTTGTTAATTCGTAATTTTGCTGTATAGTAAATATTTTCATACCAAGCTACACAGTGTAGTTGTAAATCTTCGAGAAGAGCTCCCCAAAGAACTTGAGAAATCAAACCGAGTTTCAAGGCACATTATTGAGTCATTTTCATTTAGACGTTATTTGCCTCCATTACGATGTGACATACTATGAGGTTGAGCAAATATGACTCTCAAATACAATATGACAAAACATGTTATCTGCATTGTACACAAACGAAGATAACCTTGACCATAAAGAATTTATAACTTTCTTATTTTGTCTTTGTAGATTGATAATTAAAATAAAACTGATACTTGAAAACATAACGATTGCAAGAAAATAAATTGGGAGGAAAAATGTGAGAATATCAAAAATACCATATGTATTAGTCTTATGTTTTTTTTTTTGATGAAGACACCCAAACTTATTTATAGATTTCATTCGTAATTCTTCAAAAAGTTCGCAACTTTTTAATGGCGGGTTCTTAATTTGTATTTAGAAATTCAATACATCTAAAAAAAAACTCAAAAATGGAGGAAAAACTGATCAAATATTGAGCAGGAACAATGCTATTCATCCCTACTGGGGATGAACATCAGTCAATGTGTCAATTATATAACATTAAATGATAGACTCAATTAAATGAATTATGTGACTTTGCATTTAAATAAATCTATCATTTAATGCCATGTAATTATCATATAGACTGAGACTCAATCACAATGAAGATGAATAACACTACTCATTGAGCAGACGCCCAGCTCTTGGCACAAGAAAGGGATATAAATGCCATAACTTGGCATTTTAGCACCACAACTTTTCCTCAATTTATTTCTTCACTTAGTCCATCGTTAAACAATTTATAAACACAAAATCATTATTAACTCAAGATTAAGAGATAAATAAATTAATATGCATGAGATTTAATGAATTGTGTTGGAAACATAATAAAATCTCACGATCACATTCAATATAATCAAATCATATATGCATTTTTATTCTTGGTCTAGACAAGCCAATTCGATAAGAAACTACACTCTAAATCTGAAGTTCTCATTTTTATTTATCGACTATGAACAAGTCTAAATTGTATCTATGTCTATTGTGAATATCATTAAACCTCACATATATGCATATATTGTATTTGAATTGGACATTTGTTTTAAAACATGTGCATGAGTAAATTTATTTTATTATCCTCAAAAAATATATATACACAATGTAAGTATCCCCAACATATATCTCTTGCCTTAATTCAGGAAAAAAAAAATTAAAAAACCTAAAATTAAAATAAAGAAAGAAAGAAAAAATTCTGGTGGTCTAGATACAGTTGTTGTATGTATTTTGCCAAATGCATGGGAACGCTAGCTGTGATCAATGAAAATCAAGCTGTAGAAAGGATTAACGCGTTAGAGCAATAAAAAAATTATTGAGATGGATAGGAAAAGTAGATGATATGTTTTGCACGTCAAATTAAATATGAATATAATAGTATAATTAAATATCTATAATCTATCAATTAATTGTTTACGAATTAGATACTTGTTCTTGTCTATTTGACTAACAAAAATTCAAAGTTAAGTTGAAAAACTATTATATCTTTTTTTTNTGAATGTTCGTAGAATGCAACATTAATGCATTTTCTGTTTCCAGACATGGCTACCTAATAAATAATGTTGCTCCATTTCTACTCATAGAAAAGAGAGGCGGGTGGGGGAAGTTAATTAGGTTAAAAGTAATATTGTATTCCCTCATCGTTATGAGAGCATTTCTAATGCAATCGAGGATTTTTTTTGTGACACACAAGTAAAAATAGACGTTTAAAAAAATCACTTTCCAATGCAAGCAACATAATAGAGAAAAAAAATACACAATGTATAAAGTTCCATTAAAATGATTCATATATGTCAGTCTTGTGTCATACCTAGTGATCAGCACCACTGTCCTATTTGGAGAGATTTAATGTGTTGGTGAGTTTGGCAACGACGGGTCGTCATGACGCCTAGGTTATAGCTTGTACCATATGTCATTATTACTCTTTTAGTCTTTCTTGATAGGTTGTAATCGATGATGTGAACGTTACAGGAGATGACGCCTTAGTTATAGCTCGTACCATATGTCATCATTACTCTTTTAGTCTTTCTTAATAGGTTGTAAATATGACTTGAATGTTACGGGAGGACACTTTTTAGTCTCATCGTGACGGTATTTCCAAATAACGTCTCTTATGGGTCGAACTTCTTGGATGGATCCCCTAGGGCGACATCTAGTACTGAATTGTCATGCCCTTTCCTCACAAATACGTTATTTCAATTGCTTTGAAGGAAGCCCTCAATGATTCAACGTGACATTTTCAGATTGTACCTCCATGATTTTGATCCACAGCATGTTCCCATCTATTGACCAAGTAAATAATTATCAAGAACAAAGTAATCTTCTACTTTGATAATGCCTGCCTTTTCGAAGAAAGGAGAATACGAATGAAATAAACTAAAAAAAATGGAATTGCAAAAAAGAGTTCTTTTTTATTCTTTCTTTCATATATACCTATTTTATTTAGAGAGAGAATTCACGTCATGATGCATGAATTAATACAATGTCTAATTCCTTTTCGTAATAAAAAATGATGTCGAAATAACTATAAGATATTCATAAAAACACTCTTCTTCTTTTTTCATTCCACAAAAAAACAATTAATCAACAAAGAAAATAAAAATTCTTAAAAGATGAGATAATTTCATAAACACTTTTATTTATAAGAAATATATATTTCTTATAAAGAGCGGACATAATTTAATTGGTCTAATTCGAGACCTTAGGAGAAGAGTTTGAATATCTATACCTATAAATATATCAAATCAATAATATTCTAAGGTACTTAGATTTATTCGCAACCTCCATGTGTGAAAATAGCATGTATGATACTAAGCATGTTGATGGTAAATTCTCAAGTTACTTAAAACGGATATTATCCATACATGCCAATAATCAATTGCGAAATTCTTTTGACAACCTTTCCACTGAATTAAACAAATTTTTCCTCTCTTTACACAGCACCAAAGTAGAAAATAAATATTGCATAAAAATTGATTATTTTTTTCATTTCCATTTTACGTTAGAAAAAAAAAAAAACCTTTCCATTTAGAAATAAAAAATCAAAACATATTCTGTTTAACAAAATTGAAAGGAAAATAACAACTAAAAAGTAGCACAAAACAAACTGCAATCACCATTGACGGTTGGTCCGAGAAGATGGACATCTCTACCTAATTGCATTTTATCAATTCTTGAAGCAAACGAAGACGTCGCACTCTTGCTTCAGATCTCATCTTTCCTCTTCCATTTCTGGTCTGAGCTCATTCTTTCTTATATATTCCCTCTCTGTCCCCATTCCTCTCCAGTTCGATTCTAGATACGTGTATATAATATATGCATTTCATACGTGCTCATTCAGTTGATCGATGAGAATTATTTAGATTCACAATTTTTGGACCGTTGATTTATTGGATTTGAGGTTATGGCGGTGGCTCCTGGACCTGTGACCCCTGGGCAGGTTGGTTTCTGCTAATATTTTTCATTTAAGTATTTATTTTCTGTTTTTTTTAAAAAAAATTTTTACCCATTTTTTGTTGTAATGCGGATGAAAGTGAAGTTGTTGGGTTACTAATTTTCCGTTTAATTGGATCATTTGAATACAGTACTGTAATAGATCTTTGGAGTTGGATGAAATTCATTTTGTTTTTGGCTTGCATTTAGGCCCGTTTGACATGATTTTTGAGAAGCCAAAACTGCTTTTGGATCCGTTTGACTAATTCTATGAAAGTGCTTATTCTACAAGAGGTTTTACAAGAAGCTGATCCAATATTGCTTTATTCGAAAGCACTTCCAGAATAGGAAGCTTTTTTAGAAATTAGTTTTCAAGCAAAAATTAAGGTGACTTCCTCGAGGAGTTCTTCTACTGAAAGCAAAAGCCACGTCAAATGGCCTTTAGTCCTTTTCAAAATTTGAATGAGATGTATATTGTGTGTATATCATGTTGATAATTGAAATGGAGGTATTGACAGTTGAGTTTATTGTTGATCAGTGTTGATTTTGATTATCTTATTATTGAATCGAGTTAGTAATAATGTGATTATTTTGTCTGAACTGTGCTTTGGCAAATTCTATTTATCATCTTTTTTAACATTTTTACTGGTGCATATTCTTCATATGGTCCTTAAGGGCTGAAATTCGACCTTGTGATGATCACATTATTGCCGCAAATAGAAACAGCTAAAAGCTAGAAACTTGACTGGGTGAAGACAAAACTAGGACTCTAGAAAAATTAGTAGTGCATCAAAACTTGTACAATTAATATTCTGGTTTTTTGTTGTCGGCCTGTTCTTAATATGTTTCAACTTGAAAATAGTTTAGAATGAAAGAAACTAGATTTAAGTATAATTTTCAATTAAATAATCTCTGATGTATTTCACTTATAAGCCATTGCTTGGTCCCATTGTTTCTTAATTACATTTCTCTCTCTCTCATTTTCAACCACACATTCTTCAATAAAATGATATTACACGCAAACCCAAAACTTTTCCTTATTTTTTAACCACACATTCTCCATCAAAATACTATTCCAAAATGCATTTTGGGCAAAAAAATGGGGCTCAAATAATGAATAGAACCTACAGGCTACAGAAATGACCTAAGAAGTTTATTTTCTTTGATCAGAATAAGCATAAATTAAGACCAATATGGTAAAAATGCCATCTGATTTAGGACTTCTAAATCATTATAGGTTTTGTCTCTAAAGTTGACTTCTGCAGTAAAATGTAAATAAATCTGAAATCTATTAATTTCATCTGATATGAGCACTTTTCTTTATGCCAAAAAGAGCTGTTGATCAGCCTGACAATGGACTCAGTTCTCTTGCTTCAGTAGCCTCTTGCAGATGTCTCAATCTTTATAAGTTAAATAGAAATTCTCATTCCAAACAGGAAAGAAAATGGCAAAGGTTAATTGAGTTCAGCCTTCATTTTCAATTGTCCTTTGCAATAAAACGTTTTTTTGCAAGATCCATTAAATCCAGCAGCAATATATTTCCTTTGTCATCTTCTACAGTGTCTGCATACTTAGTTTGTTTATTTTTTTATCTTGTTAGACCCTGCTTACATGTTATTACTATTTTCTTAGTGTACTTGTGGTATACATACAGTGAAATCTTTACTTTTCATGTCCCAGGTGTCATTTCTTCTTGGAATCATTCCAGTCATTGTTGCATGGCTGTACTCTGAGTGGTTGGAATATAAGAAGTCACCATCCCCGTCTAAAGTGTAAGTGTCACTCCCGGATGTTCCCATTGCCCCTTTACCTCTTTCATTAAGACCCAAAAGCACTTGAGGTTATGTGAAACTTACGAGATTATTGAATTATATATCCCTTACTCTGTGCTTTACTTTTCTGGGCTGCAGTCATTCAGATAATAATTTGGTTGAACTGGAGAATGAAACAATCAAAGAAGATGATAGGGCATTGTTGTTAGAAGGAGGTCTTTCAAAATCTGCATCTTCGAAGTTGTCCACTCCATCCGTTAAAACCAACTTAATTAGGTTGATGTGCTATTACACTTATAGAATCTATTTTGGATTTCTTTTTCACTTGTGTTTTCTTTCTTACTTTATACTCTTCTTGACTTCTAGGTTTCTTTCAATGGAGGACTCATTTTTACTTGAAAATCGAGCACTATTAAGAGCGATGTGAGTTTTATGATATTTTTTACTGTAGTTGCTTAAAGATTCTATTTCATTCTTTTTATAACCAATATCGCAATTTTGTGTAGGTCCGAAATAGGGGCTATTCTGTTCTATTTCTACATATGTGACCGTACAAATTTTTTTGCAGATTCCTCCAAGGTGCTCTTTCTTTTTCTTAGTTCTTTCTAAAGTCAGAATTTATGAACCTTGTCATAGAGAATACACTGTGAACTACTTCTCTTCATAACTATATTCACGACCTACATGTTGCAATAGCAATGCATGTAACGATTTTGAGCATTAGCATTTTGTGGATCATCTTTTTGCCAATGATACATCTAAATACTGGTCTTTGTAATAAAAGCATAACTAACTGAGTCGTACTCTTTTTGTATACCCGTAACTCTCTCTGGAGATACAAATGGGGGAAGAGCTAAGAATTGGTACTTCAACTAGAGTTTTGATTTGATGTTTTAGTAAGTATATTAATGGGTCCCTGCACATTTCTCCAACAGGAACTTTTGAATTCCTCTAACATATAGCTTTATGTGGCTCACTCAGTATAAAGGACAATGCAATCACTCATACTCTTTCCATATTGTTGTTAATGCCGTGCCTTCTATTTTGGAAGCCCCATTAATTGAGTCCAACTTCAGAATAGCCATGGTACTGTTTGTTATTTTAATTCATTGTTCCATAAAGTAATGACCATGTCATTGTTGTCTTAATTTTTAAAGCCACTTATTCTATAGCAAATTTGGAATACTTTTAGCTAGGACTGGGCGTGGGTTGTGTTGAATTTTGATCCCACCCAAACTCAACCCAATATGGTCGGTTTGATCTAAAATCAACCCATCCCATCCCATCCCAACCCAACCTAAACCGAACGCGCTTGGGTCGGTTTGGGCTTGGGCCCAATTCAAGTTGGATCCAATTTTTTTGTTGAATTTGGACAATTTTTTCAAAGTTTGAAACCATTTAAAAATCTTTGTTGTTATTAACGTATATAAGGATTTCTTTGTGAAAAATAATGTATAAGTAAGTTTGAAATTATGGAACATTTTCTTTTTACAATTTTTTTGAAATTTAGTCATTTCATTATCACGTCCTTAATTTTTAGTTTATCGTCAAATTATTTTGTATTTGTACATAGTATCCATGTTAATCAGTCTATGTTAAAAAAGAGAAGTTTGTACATTCTAAGTCCTTCTCTTATCTTCACTATTGTGTCTATTTAGATTTTTCCATTTTAGGTGTTAAATTTTTAATTCAATGGGTTGGATTGGATTGGGTTTTAATTCATAACCCTAGACCCAATTCGACCTCAAATTTGATTTTCCAGGTTGGTCGGTTTGAGCGGTTTGGGTTGATTTTTGTGCAGCCCTAGTCTACAACTACCATCAGAATCAATACACTGTAATATCAAGTTGGTTTCCTCAAAGTTGACTTTGAGCTTGGATGGAAGGAGTGTACATTACTACTGTAGAATATTTCCTGCAAAAGTACATTATTATGAGGCCTTAATTTCCATTAAATTTGTTGATATTGTTGCTGCTTATCTTTCCCAATTATTTCTTTCTTTTTTCTTTGAGATATATTTTTCGATCTCGTGCCTAACAGATAGTGTAATTCTTATTTAAAATGGAGTTTCTCAAATGCTTTATACTAAATAGTTTTGTTGGCTTTTTTTCCCTCTTGAACAGAGCTACAACCGTGATCTTTTCCTTTTCCTATACATTCTTCTTATCATAGCTTCTGCAATGACTTCTCTCAAGAAACACCATGACAAGTCAGCATTTTCTGGAAAAGCCATATTGTATCTTAATCGCCATCAGACAGAAGAGTGGAAAGGATGGATGCAGGCAAGGATTTTTATTTATTTATTATTTTTTTTCACAATACATTCCTGTATTTTGTTAATGCTTGGGGTATGGGCAGGAGAAATTTTTTAATACAGATGCTTCTTTCATATCATCCTTCTCCATTCCACTCAGAAGGACAAAGAAAAATGCATACAGATGCCTTTGTTGTATATTTTTGTATTCTTGTTTATGTGCTTCGTAAGTTATCTCAAGACATTTTATGACATTTGTTTTATGCGTGGAAGTTAGGATTCTTTCTGCACTTTCAGTTGTTTAGCTTTCCCTATGTAGATGCTGAATGTCAATAGCTGGTATTATATTGCCCATATTGGCTACTGTCTAGTCTATTATCTCTACCCACAAAGTTTCTGAGATCGTATGCTTTTCTTTTTATGTTCCCGTCAGGTTCTATTTTTAATGTATCATTACTTTGCTGCAACTGAGATGTACAACGCAATTCGCATTTTTATTGCTGCGTATGTCTGGATGACTGGTTTTGGAAACTTCTCCTATTATTACATCAGAAAGGATTTTAGTCTTGCTCGATTTACTCAGGTGAGTCTAAATTTGCATCATTTCATTTTCCTGTACCCCTCAAACAACAAAATTTGCATTGGGTATTTTACCTTTCACATGTTTTAGTTTCTCTATCAGGGTTCTAAGTTTAGATTGTTTCCTCTCTGCAGATGATGTGGAGGCTTAACTTTTTTGTGGCCTTCTGTTGTATTGTTCTTAACAATGACTACATGCTGTACTATATCTGCCCAATGCACACGCTGTTCACTCTCATGGTGTACGGGGCCCTTGGTATTGGGCATAACTATAACGAGATAAAATCAGTGATGGCTTTGAAATTTTTTATGTGCTTTGTTGTGGTTATCTTGATATGGGAAATCCCTGGAGTTTTTGAACTTGTCTGGAGTCCTTTCACTTTATTCTTAGGTACACTCTCCTTCTTTTGTGTTTTCGTTTTTCTGCCTTCTGTCGATGGATTGTACTTTTCCAACATAGTTGGCCTTGGAAACTGTTAGGTTTCACTAGAAGCATCCAAAATCAATTTGATTACTCACTTTAATCTGTATAAATACGTCTAAACTCCCTTCCTTCCTCTGTGTGTGTGAGTGAGAGAGAGAGAGTATCAACTTGTTTAAACACCTCATTTTTTTTTTCTCAACAACAGGGTATACTGATCCTGCAAAGCCAGATCTTCCTCGACTGCATGAGTGGCATTTTAGATCTGGGCTTGATCGTTACATATGGATCATAGGAATGATCTATGCCTATTTCCATCCCACTGTACTATCTCTAACTTCTGAACTTCTGCAGTTATGTCTTATGCACTGAACATTAAAATTTGAGAGATTATATTGTTGCAGGTAGAAAAGTGGATGGAGAAATTGGAGGAGTCTGAAACCAAGCGTAGACGCACAATCAAAACATCTATTGTTGCAGTTGCCTTGATTGTAAGTTAACCTATAAGGTTGTTGGTCAACTGATATGGGCTTGTATCGAAATGATAAAACGATAGCTTATTTGTTTATTATCTGATTTCTTGCTATTCTTTCTTAGGTTGGCTATTTATGGTATGAAGGTATATACAAGCTGGACAAGGTTACATACAACAAGTACCATCCCTACACATCATGGATACCCATAACGTGTGTACTGAAATTGTGTCTTGATTTAATATAACCCGAGTTCTTCAATTCCAATGTCATCCTTTTCTTATTGAGGAAGGAAAGACTTCCCAATTTTTTTTTTATCTAAAACGTCTCCTTTCTTAATTGCCTTCTTTCTGCTACAGCGTTTATATTTGCTTGCGGAATTTCAGCCAGCATATCCGGAATTTTTCTTTGACCCTTTTTGCGTAAGTTTTTGCTTCATTTCTTTGTCTAAGTAATCTAATTAAATTGCTCCTTCAGTTGCACAAATTGTTAGGTTTTTATGCTAAAGCTCATTTGATGATATATTCATGGTGCTTTAACAGTACAAATGCTCTGTTCTATCAGGTGGCTTGGCAAAGTTACTTTGGAAACGTATATTTCCCAGTTCCACATCTGGCTGAGGTGGGTGCACTTCCTTACACTAGTTTTTGAAACGCTGGTGTAATTTGACCTCTAATGCTTGCATGTGTTAACTGTTAACCGTATGTAGATTTATGTAGGCCTGTATACAAATACCCTTCCTGGGGTGTGTATATATATATATATATGAGAGCCGTAAAAAATAAAAAATTTCAATTATTAGACGGATCATGTTTTTCTGACCAATACTAATTTTGTGAGGCATCTCATATGCAGATCAAATATACCTAATGGACAACCCAAATGGCTACTCTCTTTCATCCCAGAGTATCCTTTGCTTAATTTCATGCTCACAACTTCCATTTACATCTTGGTGAGTAAATCTTCAGTTCATCTTTGAAATGAAGTTACTAAATATATTTTTTTTTTCGCAATTCATCTTTTATTTTCTTTTACCACTTGCAGATCTCATATCGGATTTTTGAACTGACCAACACGTTGAAGTCAGCTTTCATACCCACGAGAGACAATCGAAAGCTACTTAACAATTTTGTTGCTGGAACAGCCATTTCTGCATGTTTATATTTCATTTCGTTCATTCTTCTTCAGATTCCTCATTAATCGGTAAGTTCTTTAATGCCATTTACATTAAAGCTGCACATGAAGCACACTTTGACTGATTTTAGAAACCAAATATTGGATTTTGAGTGCGATACTGTTAATCTAATCACATGTTGCATTCCATGTTCTGATAAATATTCCTTTTCATTTTGTCTTTTAACTCCAAAAAGAATACAATATGGTTTGTCCAGGTCCGAAAATTTAAAAGTGGTAGATGCTCAGTAGGATCATTTCGTGATGGGGATGAGAGTGGAATATACACGGATATTATAGAACTGAAGGTGTTGCTTTCAGACCTAGTAGTGTGGCTAATGTTTCAAACAATTTCGTGAATATCACATACAATTGTTGCAATTCAGTCACAGAATGTATCCAGATTAAGCCTCAGAAGTTTGACAGAGAAAAATAGCAGTCACGGAAGTGGGTAACACTTATAAAATCGTGGACTTCCATGCTTGATTCATATTTTTGTTCTTTACTTTGTATATTTCCCTCGTAAATCCCTTAATGTTGTGAATCAATTATGAGAAAAAGATGTAGAAACATTTACGTATTAGTTGCTAAAGCATTTTTTATGTGGCAAATGTGTCATTTTTAAGTTTCTGGAACCTGAGTAACTTGTTCTTGACAGCATTTCATTTTTTGTATTATTTACGGGATTCAATTAGGATATATACATTACTGTTAAGGGTTAATATCTCGCATCGACTAAAGATGATGACAATACTCGAACTATTCTTCAATCAACGTCGGGCATTTTAAGACAGAATCTCAAGACTTATATTATGTTTGGTAGAAATTAAAATCTAGATTTTAATTTAAGTCAAAGTGTCTCATAATTTTTCAACCACATATTTTATGGGTCTCATAATTTTTCAACCACATTTTTCATTAATTTCTATTAAAATCTGATTTTAATCTCCATTGGGGCTCAATAAGATAACTTATGAGTTAAAGAAGCCCACCCCCAAAAAGAAAAAAGGCCATCTTTCGGTTAGTATAAAGGAAACAATACATAAATCAAGCTTTTAGTAAATACTATTTCAAAGTTAAGGATATAGGTTTTAAATTTCAAAAATCAGGTTTTCATCAAAATTAATTAATTATATATTTTATTAATAAATATATAAAGGTCACAGATATATGAAATTTGGTCACAATTCAAAAATTTTATAGGTCACAGCATCGGTCACAAATTAAAAATTTAAAAGTAACAATTTGTTCATCGGTCACAAATCATGAAATTTATGAGTCATGCAACTTATTTTATGGTCACAAAATATTAAATTATAGGTCACAAATTACTTTTATTGGTCACAAATTAATAAATTTGTAGGTCACACAGTATTTATTGATCACAATTTATTCTTTCTTGGTCACACATCAACCAATTTATTGGTCACAATCAATAAATCATTTGTGACCACCACCAACACAACACCACCGTCGTAATCATTTGTGTCGTCTCCGCTGCCAATACCAATACCACCAATCACCAAAGAAAATGCACCAACACCATCGTCGTCTCCGTCGCCAACACCACAGAAAACACACCACTGCCTGCCAACACCACCATCACCACCACTTCCAAGCAACAAAATCGACACCAATGCCAACACTAACAATACATCATCCCCACAACCTCATCAAAACCGCAACCAGATCCGCCATAGCCACCAACAAAAATCAAAGTCGAAAAATCACTACACACATCCGACAAGTCAACCACATCGACCATTA